CAAAAACTACAACGAACGACTCGTTTGGACTACAACGCATATTTTCCGGGATTTGTGATGTCACAAATATCGACGAATGGGACGAGACTTGGTTGAGCTGCACTAGAGGAGGCAACGAGTGTTATCACTATGTCGGAGACACGCTAGTTTTCCCAAGGTAGACGAACTTAGAGTGGTTACAATCATCCGAGTTCAAATCACGCTCAAATTGATTTGATTTTGACACAATATTTACACTGAAGCTAGCAGGCGGCTACGGTAAGGGGCATGACATTTCCCGACCAGGCGCCGAGTGCTGCCAATCACAACACACACTGGCCCAGCTAACCAATCACAGCACATTTTGTATTTCAGAAGGCGGGCCTTCATATGATACAGGAACTATTCAAGCTGTTCATGCCAGACTGGGGAGAGAGGCGTTGTAATAATGTAAAATATGTGAAAAATAATGTGTTTTTCGAACAACCTAGTATGAGAGCCTGTTCTAGTACACCCCCAAAACAAAATCAAGACTTTGTAAAAGAGCATAATAGGACCCCTTTAATGCATTTTTTAATAGATTAATAGAGGCAGGAAAAATAATCATGTCAATGATCAAAAACATTACAAAGCAGAGAGACAGCAGAATCAGTGTTAACAAAGATTTAAAACATTATGGTAGACAGGAGTCAGGACTTCAGGTACATTAACTGACTCATATTATACATACATTGAACCAAATGAGAGGCCAGCAGGGCGGCAGTGTTTTCTGTACAGTTCAGTCGGCCCTCTATTAGATCCCTCTTGATTTGCAGAGAAAACAAGTACCTGAAGAAAAAGTACATAGTTACAAGCATCGTTCAGCTAATCAGAATATAAAACATGGATGATGACTCTGAACATCCTACCTAGTAAACTCCTCCTGAAGCTGACCAGGATCTGGAGGAAAGAACTTCACTGACAGCCGAAAGAGTGTGTTCATCGGCCCTGTGAATAGTAAGTATAAACACACAAAACCCCAAGATCCTCTGATCTCCAAACACAACACAAAACATTAAGTGTACTTACGTCTCACTTGTTTCACTATGAGCTTGGTGGGCTCCAGCCAAACCTGTTGAAATGAAACAGTGCAGAGTAAGACTGGCATTTCAGCTTTTAACCACCTTATAAAGTCTAAGCAATAAATACAAATAATCTCTCACACTTTCAAACTACATCTGTTTCTGGTCTTTCAAGAAAGCACTAAAACTAAAGAACATCTTGGTCACAGAGGCCACAGATAAGATCTTGAGATGCTGACCACACCAAAAACATATTTCAGGAATTTTTGGAAAGCTATTATCAGCTATTATTCAAATGCTCCGGGATATGCACATTTTTAATTCAAACCTCTGTGCTTGCCTGTTTTGGGGTCGTGCATAGATGTGATGATCTGTTTTAATTGTGTGTCTGCAGGGTTTGTAGACGCCCTGCTCCTCCAAGCACATCTGGAGCTGATTGTGGCAAGAATGTACCTTTTCTCACTCCACCTCCAGCTCCTTCTACTCCGCTGACCTCTCATCTTTTACAGAATCATCACAACAACCCCATACATACACACATTCCACACCTGACTCAACTCTCTCCAAAAAACCTGGCATGGCACACTCAAAAACAGATGGCCAACATACGGTCTCCAGTGCTCATCTCAAAATTACTTATGGAAAAAGTTTTTTTTTAAGTTTTTTTTAAATTAATTTCACCAATGATAAAGAAACCAAGATGAAAAAGATGCATTATGGCGATAATTAAAATGCCATGCTAGCGGGTTTATACAGCACAACAGCCCTTTGTCAGCAGCCTCAGTATTTTTCCCAGTAAAAAAACAAAACAACAAACAGTTCTAAGCAATGAACCAATTCAATAAAAAAACAAAAGCCAAATCAAAAAAACAAAACAAAAACAAAAAAATCAAACCAAAAATCAAATCCAAAACAAAAAGCAAACCAAAAAACAACAACCAGGCAGTAACAAAAACATTACAAAACACTTTTGAAGTGATAGGGATAATCCACTCAAAAAGGAAAATGTTGTCATCATCTGCTCACCTTCATGTCATTCCAAACCTTTATTTGCTACTTCTGCTGGACACAAAAGAAGGTATTTTGAAGAATGTTGGTAACCAAACGGTTTCAGTTCCCTTTGATTTCCTTTGTATTTTCGTCTATGCAATAGAAGTCAATGGGAACTGAAAATGTTTGGTTTGGTTAAATGTTCTTCACAACATTTTCTTTTGTGTTCTACAGAAGAAAGAAATACAGATTTGGAACAACAAGACAATTTTTCATTTCTGAACTATCCCTTTAAGCCTATTTATTATAAAAAAGGACAAGATTATTAAAATAGCTCACAGATAATGTAAAGCACACAATTCAGCAACATTAAGATTATATTGACTTTGTTACTGATTTAAAGGTGAATTGTGAAATCTCTGTCCCTGCGACACCAAATAAAAAATAAAAAAAATAATAATAATGACTTTTCACACAGGTTTCCTGGACATTCCTTTCATTGGTCAAACAAAAGGAGAGTTCCATTTATAACTCACAGTATTCAGTGAGAGTCAGTGTTGCGATCAATTTACTGATGGATTACTTATTTTCTCTGACTAATAACCAAGGGTAAGTCATTTAAGATTGACTTTTTTTTTTTTAACATACTTCACCTTTAAGAAACGTTTTGCTTCTACTTTAGCCTGGATCACATAATCCTTTAAATACATCAAATCTTGTCTTTAATCAACTGTAAAGTCTCTCATTTGTGTGTATACTAATTACTATAGTAACTCTGCACGGTGAATTGTGAAATCTCTGTCCCTGCGACACCAAATAAAAAATAAAAAAAATAATAATAATGACTTTTCACACAGGTTTCCTGGACATTCCTTTCATTGGTCAAACAAAAGGAGAGTTCCATTTATAACTCACAGTATTCAGTGAGAGTCAGTGTTGCAATCAATTTACTGATGGATTACTTATTTTCTCTGACTAATAAGCAAGGGTAAGTCATTTAAGATTGACTTTTTTTTTTTAACATACTTCACCTTTAAGAAACGTTTTGCTTCTACTTTAGCCTGGATCACATAATCCTTTAAATACATCAAATCTTGTCTTTAATCAACTGTAAAGTCTCTCATTTGTGTGTATACTAATTACTATAGTAACTCTGCATAAATGTATCCTTTTAAACACGTTTATTTGTAGGTATGTTCTAAAATATAATGATGTGTTCTTTAAGTTTGTGTGCCCGTATCAGGAACAGTAAACCTCTGGGGCCCAGAGAGAAGCAGCACAAACAACATAAAACACCTCCTCATCTTTTAAGAGCTTAGCTGGGTTTTCAGAGGAGCGGGCCGTTCACAATCCCGTCTTTGTGTGAGCAGGGGGACTGTTTGTCAAGTGGCCACTTACCCAGTTCATCTGCAGGTTCTGAAACTCCAGACCAAAGTAATCGCTCTCAATGAGATTGATCCGTCTGAGCACTTCAGAGTAAAAACTTTGCCCATCCGCTTTTGACTACAACAGAGAGAGGAAAAACAAGACATTCAATTATGACATTTTAAAAAATTCACATTTTTATTTGATTTTTGTCACAATCATGACAATTTGGCTGATTAACAAATGATTACAATTAATGATTTAATTGTCCTTTTCTCTTTAATGCTACATATTGCACAAGATCAAGATGCCATGAAGAGTAATATTCTAAATATTATATTATCTTAAATTTCAATAAATAAACAAACACATGAATTAATATTTCTCTGCACTTTCCATTCACACTGATTTTATTTATTTTTTATTTATTTTTGAACCAATCCAACATAATTAGAATATTATGGTAAAATAATATTGATTATTATTGTTGTGATGAATGTCAGAATTGTATGCATTAGTAATACATTTCAGAAAAGATACATGAACTGCATAAAATAACCCCTAACACTTTCTTAATATGTGATTCTTAAAGGGATAGTTCATCCAAAAATGAAAATCATTTACTCACCCACAGGTTATTCCAAACCTGTATGAGTTTCTTTTTTCAGTTGAACACAAAAAGACATTTTGAAGAATATGGGTTACCAAACAGTTGATGGTCCCTACTGATTTCCATAGTATGGGGGAAAAAAACAAACCAATGAAAGCCAATGGGGCCATCAACATTTTTCTTTCTTTCTTTTCTTTTTTTTCCTGAAATATCTTTTGTGTTCAACAGAAGACATAAACAGGGTTGAAACAGTTTAAGGGCGAGTAAACGATGACAGGATTTTTATTTTTGTCTGAACTATACCTTTAATATTGATTATAACTGCAATTCAATCAAATAATTTAGTGAAAGTCTAACCTAATCTAAGTTCAAAGTTGTAGTTTATTTTATATAACGTGGTCTACATTTCTTCATATTTCTTTTCTGTTATTTTTTTTTCTTTTTGAAGACTATGGGGTTGTGAGGGGTAAAATATTTAAATATTTCTGTGGAAAAGCAGCTGTGTCTGCTATGAAGTCGCTGGATATTTGAGGCTAATGGGTGTCAGCAGGAAATATCTGTGGGCTATCTGAGTAATTCTCCACAGCATGCAGCCGGGCCAAAACCAGACACAAGGCCACAACACAGTCAATTTCTGAGATCAGCTGGACTGTCTGTTGTAAACATAACTGTGAAAGGCTAGGAGAACATCTAAGGACATTTCAGGGCACATAGGCAGTTAAACCTGCTTAAAGAGAAAAGGGTTTTCCCTGAAAAAAAAAAACCCAGACTCAGGGGTTTGTCATTACAAAATGAAGGACTAATTACTATGTACCCAGAACACACTGCGCTTAGGTTTTGCCATTCGAGCCGGTGACTTTCTGGGAAAATTATACAGCAGACAGCTGTTTGTAATGTGAAATGTATTTTTAAAGACCATAAAAACAGCCTGAGTTGAATTGGGCCAGCCAGATTGTTACCCTTCATTTCTTTGGTACGTTCTAAACTTGACTGATTCTTTCTGCCTTTAATACAGTTTCTTAAGTAAAGAATGTACCCTCCGTGCCAAGCAGGGCAGGTAAGCACCTTCCAAATGGCTTCCTCTAGACTCTGCCAAAACCCGGATCAACATGTACAACACAATCAGTATACGATGCGCAAAACTCCACATTTGAACAGTCAATAGCAAATACTTAAACTAATAACAAAACAGTAGCTGATTCAGAAGCGCCAGATTGTCATAGCAAAGTCAGAATTACCTCCTCTCCTAGGTTCACGAAACGGTCGTCCATAAAATGCATTGCTGTTCTGTTGCAAGTAATCTTAAAGATTCCTAAATGCATCATTTGGGCTGCATTATGCAAATATTTCCACATAGTGAGGTAGTTATGTGGGGGCGTGTTAGAACGAGATGTTTTAGGGGGGCGTGGCAGAGTCTTAACTTTGATCAAGAATATCTCTTTGGTTTTGAGACTTTAGTCTTTGCAACTTCAGGGATCTTATCTATGCACAATCAGCATGTAACACTCCAAAGAGAAAGGAAAACTTGAAATCGCATCATATGACCCCTTTAAAAGAACAGGCCCATAAAGGTAATTCATTTTGGAAATCAGGCTACACTGGTTGTGCTGTATATTCTTAATTCCCTAAGAACATCTCTGGCAAAGTATGATTTCTTCTAGGGGGTGGGGGGGTATACAAAAACAGATATACTACCAAGCCTTTTTGTGAAAGAAAGGAGTTATTACTTTTATTTAGCAAGGATGCATTAAATTGATCAAACGTGACCGTAAATACATTTACAATACACGTGTTTACATGAAGCTGCAGTCTGATTACAATCGGTTTAAAAGTCCAATCCAAATGAAAATGTGCCATGTAATTGCTTCAATCGGAATATAAACGCCAAAAACGACTGAAATATGTTTATATGAAATGTGCTGCAGGTTACCGTTGCTTCAGATTCTCATCTGTAGACGTCTTTTGTTTTGGACATGGGAATGAGCATTTTTACGGTTTGATTAATATAAGTATCATTGCACAAAGCTTTGTGCTATTTATGTAAATAGATAAATATTAAGAAAAGGAGGATGGTTATTATGCAAAAACAGTGGGGCACTGCATATTCATGCAGTGAGCATGTCAAAAGATTAAATCCGTTTTGAAGCTTGTGACGCATAAATGCACACTTTATTTAGCATTCATGTAAACACTATGTTCGGATTCATCAGTAGGAATTATTTAATTCCAATTGAAACAAAAAGTGCCCATGTAAATGTGGCTATTGTTATAAAAGATTTCAATTTCAAATAAATGCTGTTCTTTTGAACCTTTATTTAACAAAAAATCCTGAAAACAATTACATGGTTTCCTCAAAAAAAAAAAAAGAAAAAAAGTCAGGAACGCATCTTCAATGTTCTCACGTGTGAGGTGTGTCTTATGCTTGGGAGTAAATTCTACAGACTCTGTTCATATACTGTATTAATTGGATTAATTTTTTTTCTACAGCTTTCCCAAGCACCCTAAACTAAAAGCCCATTAGAAGTACAGCATAACAAAACTAAGCTGTGGATCAACTCTGTGGCGTTGACTGCAACAAGGAAATACCACCTGGAGCATATTTTCCATACAGAGAGCAGTGCCTGCTGAACCCTCCAAGCACATAGACGCTATCCAGCATGTAGGAGTTTCCCTGTTACAGTTGTTCTGTCAGTTGGGCAGGTTTATGGGTCAACAGTGGCTGGGATTACTGAGCAGCAGTATCTTTCTGGTACTCACCAAGCCAGCTTGTCAGACTATATTGGCAACTGCTGAATCCAAACTAACAGTAGTGTGTAAGCTTTTTCATTTAGTCTGTCTGTGAACAGAATCTCTGTGATCATGCATTTGAGTGCTGACTGTGTTTGGGCATGTTGAGATCTCAGTAGGAGGCATTTCTTTCTCACACTCTAAGCAAGTAGCAGCTTTTGCTGCGTTGCAACGATTCTAGCCACACCTTGACACAAAGTGATACAAAATATTGTAAATCATTAACTAAGTAAATGCATGGCAGTTACAAGAATGGATTACAGTGTTTCCTATGTCGTGGCTGCTGAATCTTCAGTGCCACAGGCCCTCAGCAAAATAAATCATATCTGTTCAAAAGAATAACAAGTTTGATTTGAATCAAATCCTTAACTAAATGAACTCACTGACTCAATGATTCAAATTGTGACTTGCTTAAAGTCACAATTAAACGCAAGTAGCGACAGAAACCTTTTTTTATGGCAGGGATGTGGTTCTATGCATTGATTGTTGTTTTCAAATACTCAAAAATGAATGCAAGCTTGTAGTCGATTGTGGACGACTGGGGTTGAAGAGGACAAAACGATTACAGAAATCCGGCAAACATCTCCAGTCTAGTCTACAATTTTCACCAGATGATTATTTTGATTATTTTGATTAAACAAATACAGAGTGGATTTTTCATTTTGGGGTGTAACTTGCATTTAACAGAATTACGTAATTTAAATACCAAAAAAAAAAATGTTACAGTCACTGAGAAAAAATTTGTAATTAAATTAAATTAGTTACTTATGAAAATTAGGGATAGGTCACGATTTTCGAATATTTGATTCGTTGATTTAATTATAGAATATCGAATAGGTTTTGTGATTATTGTCTTTAAAAATTTCCTGATGTTTGCTGATGCGGTGGTGATGCGTTCATGTAAGCAGAGGATGGCTAGTAGACTTGCGTGGCATAAAAAAGTTGCATATAAGCGTAGCATATAATGGTTATAGTAACTTGGGACGATGCCAAATAAGAGCTCTGTGCGGACCACAAACACCCCCGACTGGGTTAGAGGTGTGGCTGAATCCGCATTCAGAAAGGTGTGGAAAACAAATAACGCGTTCTACGGAGCCACTAAAAGGACATGGTTAGCCGCTTGCTATCGGTAGCCTGTTACATTACATAACATTGCACTAACCACATAAACGGAGTAAGGAGAGATGGCTGATAGGATGAAGGCGAATGATTTGCATATCCTGAGCACCACTGACAAACATCTAATCTTGTAAAATGTGTGGTAAGTAATGGCGAAGAATGGCGCAAATCTTGAAAGTGAAAGTAAAAAACAAGGTTGCGTTCATAAGTGATTTCAATGCCCCGCATATTAATAACGGCTCCCTGAAGCCGCAGTTTATATACAGTACAATTACCCAACGATATAATTGCGACAGAATATATTGAAGTATATTTTTCCTCCCATCTCGTATCTATTACCTTTAAGGGTTCCATTTTTTTAAAATCTACAGCCTTATGAGCAGTTGATTTATGCTAATCGATGGACTGTTATGTTAATAAGTGCCGTCATTCGGTTATGTTTACTATATTAATATGTTTCAGCACGTTACAATCATTATATGGCTTGAGTTAAGGTAGCCTATCTTCTGAATTAAACAGTTTATCATATAGATTGAAAGCGTGAATCCCGTCTCTCTCTCTCTCTCTGAGTGTTCGTGCGTGCATCATATAGATTGAAAGCGTGAATCCCGTCTCTCTCTCT